CACGCACACATGCACAGTCTGTCATTCAGACTGCAATTTGCCAGAGGCAGGCAGAGTTGGGAGGCAAACCTATAGCTCCTCTCAAAGCATATCCTATTCCCAAAGGCAAAGTGGGTATGACCTGGGGATTGACTATCCATGTCTAGGCTCCTGCCCATTTACACAAAACACGAAGCTGTTCTAGATAAACACCAAGGTGTCCCAACATGTCCCAAGCAACAAATCTCTCCATCTGCCTTGGCTCCAGGCCCTTGTAGGGAGCACAGACTTCAGTATCCTCTCTGATGTCATCTCACCCACCCTCCACACTCCACTACTTGGGTAACCGAGGGATATGCACCCCCTCCTCACCTTCTTAAGCACCACAAATTCATTCTCAGCAGTTGTGCGCTTGTTTATTTCCTCCTCATACCTGCAGGAAAAGCATCACAGTGAGCGGGGTGTGTGTGTGTGTGTGTGTGTGTGTTCTCATTATGAAAAGAGAAAGGAGGTGCTCATGTTGTGTATCTTTTAATAGGTATTATTCTACATCTTTGCAAATCTGTCCAACTCACTAAGACTATTTGGTCAGCATTGTGGGCAGGATTTGAAGCAATCCCCTCCTGCACCAGGTGACCAGATGGTTTGGGGTCTGAATTTCCTCTGCTGTCTGGAGAATGAGTAGGTTCTTTCTCCTCCCATTCAGTGTCCAAATCACAGGAACATGACACTGTCTTTCAGCCATGATTCTTGTGTCTGACACCCCTACCTATAACTCCACCTCATCCTCAAGCATGAGTTCCAAGGCAGCCAGCACTGTCCCCTGGGGTAGGAAGAAGAAGCGTGGCCCAAATGTACAGGATCTGAGGGAAATGAGAAAGGAAGCCCAACAGAAATCCAAGCTCCCTGACATGCAGAGGAATTTCCTTGGAATTTAGAGGCAACTCAGGAACCAAGAGGCTGTGGGGCAGGCACACATGAACTCTGTCGAGTGAGGAAAAGAGAGAACATGCCCTGGAGGTAGTCTCTGTGAGGACAGTCCTGCCGCTTTCCAAGAGGCTGGCTGTCCCCTGTCCAACTTGCTCAGCTGTCATCTTGCCCGGGCAGAAGAGCTCAAGCTGGGTCACTCCCACCTGAGCTCAGTGCTCCTGAGACCAGAGGCAAATGTCCCAGTGCCTGCTGGGAAAACCCAGCCCAGGAGGTGGTCAATCTGGGTGCAGGATCCTTGCTCACCTCTTCTTGTAGTCCTCCACCACATCCCGCATGTTCCTCAGCTCCGAGTCCAGCCTCACCCTGTCCCCAGACAGCGTTTCCAGCTGCTTCCGCAGGTTGCTAATGTAGCCCTCGTACACAGGCTCTAGGTTGTTCTTGCAGTTGTTCAGGTCCAGCTGCTGCAGCAGCTCCCACTTGGTCTCCAGCACCTGGTTCTGCTGCTCCAGGAACCGCACCTGGAACCCAGATCAACAGACACTCAGTCATGGGAAGAGGCTGTGTGTTTCCTTTTCTGGATGGTAGCTGTGTTCTCTTATGCTGCATTAGCTTAAAGGGTAAGACTCATGCCCCTCCCCACCCAGGCCCTTTGTCTGACTGAGGAGTTCTCTTTCTGCGAGAACCTGACACCATCAGGAGGGGCTTCAACATCTTCATTTCCCTCTTATCAAGATATGTCTCCTCTGTATCTGTCCAAACCTGCTTGGACAAATGTCAGTGGTCAGCCTTGGCCAGTGCTGACCTTAAATATGTAAACTGACCTGTATTGGCCTTCATGCTCCTGCGTGGCTCGGCTCAGACCCAGTAGCCTGGCCTGTGCTCTGCCTACTCTCTGTCTTCTAGGTCATGGCCTTTCCCAGCCCAGCCAGAGGTTGGTGTTCAACTGACCTGGGGTCTCAGCACCTCCTATGTTGCTTTTATGTCCAAATCTATGATCTCAGAGCATTTCCCCAGCATTCTCAAGTGGCAGTTTATAAATATTATATCATTTCCTTGCAGAAAACCCTCTGGTGGTTCCATATCACCTACAGAGTCAAGTCCAAATTCCTTCTTATGCTCTTCATAATGGGCCCAGCCCCTCTGCTGCCGTTCACCTAACATTCACACAACCCAAGGTGTCCTGCTCTCCAGATAAGTCCTTCATGCTGCATGTGACTGCTCCCTCTCCTATATTGCCTTTCCCCACCTTCGTCTGGCAAACTCCTACTCAGGTTTGACCACCCTACCCCGCTGTCATCTTTGGGAAGCTTCCCCTACTCCCCAAAGCTCAGGAAGTCTGCTTCCCAAGATGCTCCTACCTCTTTGTTCATCGGTGGCTCTCAAACTTTAGTGTGCATCAGCATCACCCTGGGGGCTTGTTAGAGCTGCCCATCCCAAGACCCCACTCCAAGAGTTTGTGGTTCAGCAGGCACGAAGTGGAGCCTGAGAATGTGCATTTCTAATCAGTCCCCAGGTGAAGCTGATGCTGCCAGTTCAGGGACCATTTTTGGGAACCTCTACTCCAGTGCACTACTAATTCCCAGGTGCCTCGCCCTGGGGCCCACATGTCCGTTTGGATGTATTACAGGCTCTGAGTCTATCTTCTGACCAGTGTCTGAGCTGGTCTGGGTCCCCTAAGAGAATGAGCTAGGCCCTATGGCATTCTAGACATCCTAGGCTGCCATGGACCTCTCCATTGTCTGGATTCTAAATTTCACGTGCCATCACTCTCCTACTTCTCAAAGCGTGCCACTGTCCCTGCCTCCAGGAGACCTTCCCAGACTAAGCTCTCTAACTCCTCCTGCCCCTCTGGCCACCCTGACCTCTCAACACTGATGTCCAGGATTCATCCAGTTCCTCCCTGCCCAGTCCTCGGCGGTGTCTGCATCCTGGGAAAGTGGCCTGTCTTCCTCTGCCTCAGACTGGGAGCCCCCAAGGACAGTGAAGGTGGAAGAACAAAGGGGCTCTACATTCGGCTTTCTCCAGAAAGTCCCACCTTGTCGATGAAGGAGGCGAACTTGTTGTTCAGAGTCTTGATCTGCTCCCGCTCCTGGGCGCGCACTTTCTGTATCTCAGGGTCCAGCTCCACATTGAGGGGAGCCAGGAGGCTCTTGTTGACGGTGACCTGAGAGATGCCCCCTGGAGGGCAAACAGACGGACATGCGGGCCCCAGGGCCACACTGCCAAACATGCTGCCAGCAAAACCGCTGGCCCGGCCCCGGCCAAATCCATAGCCCCCTGTTCGCCCGCTGCCACTGGTCACATTGTAGGAGATGCTCCGGGAGCCCCCCAGGCTGTAGAGGCTCCGGCTCCCAAAGCCCCCACTGAGCCCTTTGATCCCTGCCCGGTAGGAAGGCGAGCTGCCCCCTGAGAGCACAGCGGAGCAGCCACTGAAGCCCCCCTTAGCAGCAGCTCCCGACTTGTAGGTGAATTGGCGGCTCATGCTAGAAAATCCAGAGAGCTGGAATAAGAAGCTAAGTCTTAGCTGAGATGCAACTCACAAGCCTAAGATCTTGGTCTCCCCCTATATAGGGCTTGAGAAGGAGCCACTGCCCTAATTTGTGGGTTTAGTTTGCCTGGGAGCAAGAAATCATTTTCTCCCAGCAAAATCAGAGATGCCACGTAAATAACTTGAAAACCCCCAAAGTGATGGGCTTGCAAGCCTTGCTCATGTAATTTGAGTCTTATCTAATCAACCTGGGGTATTTAGCCTGGCCAAATTACCCCTAGAAAGATCTTGGCTGGGAGGTTTGTCACAGACTCAATTGCCCTTCCCCAGGGAGTGGGAAGGGGAGGGGTGGATTGCGGGGGTGCAGAGGGGAGACCTTTAATTGACAGTGTCATCTGTGAGAGATCTCACGACTGTACCAGCCATCAGATGGGCTTCTTCAGGGACCGCTTTTATGTGGTTAGGAGGAGACTCCATGACCGAGCTTCCCAGGGTTCCTAGAGATAGTTCTCATGGTGGTCAGGACGATGGGTGATGAGCCAGGACTAGGAATCCAACCCAGCCCTCTGGCTGCCAGCCCCTGTTGTGGCCTCCCAGGCACGTCTCCTGCTCTCTGTGCTGGTCAGGCTGCCCTGCACACACTGACTTTGCTCCTGCCTCTCCCACTGCCCTCACCCTTGACCTTGAAATAATGGTATTGCCACCATTCATGGTGGCTGACACTGGTGCAGTGCTTTACAGCATTAAAAAAAAAGCTCCTGAGGAGGTGGCCTGTCTTCCTCTGCCTCAACTGGGAGCCTCCAAGGACAGTGAAGGTGGGAGAATGAAGGGACGCTACATTTGGCTTTCTCCAGAAAGTCCCACCTTGTGTGAAGCTCACTTAACCCACTTGACCTGGGGAGGAGCTTGATGATCCACATTTCACAAATGGGAAAACCAAGGCTCAGATAGTTGAAGACAGTGAACATTTCATGAGCTCTTTCTCTGTAAGAATCTCAAAGGATACAAATTTCCCACAAAACCTAGGTCCAGCCTTGAGGATTCCCTTGGATGGTCTCTGTCTCCACATTCAGAGGGGCCTTACCATGCAGGCCTTACTTGTCTGGCCAAACAGACAGACAGCCATTCACCTCCTCAGTCATTCATCCATCCACTCATTTAACAAACTTTGGTTGAGGTCTGACTCTGTCCAGGGTACTATGCTACGGTCTAGGGTCATAAATTACAAGACAGTAACCTAGTTTACAATTCTAGGATGAGGGAAGACACTTAAATTTCATTAGATCCTTGACATTACCAAAGTATTCACAATTCCCCAAACCCAAATATATTCATAGTACATAATTTCCTCCATAAAAATGCAATTAGTTCACTAGCCAGAGTGCTTAAATGAACAACTCTCCAATCCCTCTTATCTATTTCTGTGCAGAGATGATGGCCCCATCCTGTAGTATCCTAATATATAAAAAGCCAGGGGCCATCATGACCTAAACGACCAGATGGATGATCGAACAGCAGGCTCCATTGATCAGGGGATGGCTAATGGGGGAACCAGGCTCCCTCAGGCTCTGATGAATTGTGGCATGGTGACTGGTGAGGGGGGGGGGGGGGGGGGGGGAAGGCAGACCACTTGGTCCCTCCTCCCGGCCCTCAGACTCCAATCAATCAGCGGCAGAGGTGGGGCGGAACTGGGGACTGGCTCCCTTAATAGTGCTGCAGGTTCAATCTCCAGAGGACAGGACAGGCACCAACAGACCAGTGCTGCCGGCATGATCCCGACAGCGCTGCTGGCCTCCTGGAACTTGGCCTCAGGCACTGCGGCCGCTTCGTCTCCCTAGACACTCCACAAGGAAGAAAGGATACCACCAGCAGCACCAGGGGCGACCAGTGCTGACTGCTCTCCCCATGCTTCCTCCAGGTCACTCGAGCCGGGCCCCCACCCACCCCACTCCAGATGAAGTGTGAGCACTGCACACGGAAGGAATGTAGTAAAAAAACAAAAACTGATGACCAAGAGAATGCTGCAGTCAACATTCAGAGTCCAACTCAGGAAAATGGAGAGAAGGGAGAATTCCATAAGTTGGCTGATGCCAAGATATTTCTGAGTGACTGCCTGGTGTGTGACAGTTGTGTGGCTGCAGAGGAAGGAGTCCAAGTTTCTCAACAGAACACCAAGGACTTCTTCCATGTTCTGAACCTTAATAAGAAATGTGACGCCTCACAGCACAAGGTGCTGGCAGTGTCTGTGTGTCCTCAGTCTCTGCCTTATTTCGCTGCTAAATTCAGCCTCAGTGTCACTGATGAATCCAACAGGCTCTGCAGCTTCCTCAAAAGCCTTGGGGTGCACTGTCTTTGACATGAAGATAGCTGCGGACTTCAGCATCCTGGAAAGTCAGAAGGAATTTGTGTGTCGGTACTGCCAGCACCATGAGGAAGAGCCCCGGGTACCCATGCTGACCTCCTCCTGCCCTGGCTGGGTCCAATATGCAGAGCACATTCTAGGTCACCCCATCACCCCCCATCTCTTCACGGCCAAGTCTCCCAAGCAGATCATGGGCTCTCTGGTGAAGGATTACTTTGCCAGATGGCAGAACCTGTCCCCAGACAAGATTTTCCATGTCATTGTGGCCCCGTGTTATGACAAGAAACTGGAGGCCCTTTGAGAAGATGTTCCCACAGCTTTGCATAGTTCCCGGGGTGCTGAGTGCATGTTAACCTCAGGTGAAATTGTCCAGATAATGGAGCAAAGTGACCTCGCCTAGAATGACACCGCCATGGACACTCTGTTTGGAGACATGAAGGAGGAGGAGGTGAGGCTCCACAAGGGTACCAGCTCCGACGGATACCTGGTGCACATCTTCAAGCACATGGCCAAGGAGCTGTTCAACGAGGACAAGGGAGTGTTCACCTACCACATCCTGAGGAACAAAGACTTCCAGGAGGTCACCCTTGAAAGGGACGGAGAGGTTCTACAGTGCTTTGAGACTGGCTTTTGGAACATCCAGAAGTGGTCCTGAAGCTGTAGAGGGGCAAGTTCCCCTGCCACTTCATGGAGGTCCTGGCCTGCAGTGGGAATGCCTAAGCAGCAGGGGTCAGGCCCAGGCGAGGAGGGCATGCAGACAGGGAACTGCTGCAGCAGATGGAAGGCATCTACGCTGCCATCCCGGTGTGGCCCCCAGAGACAAGGGCCCATGTGCAGGCTCTGTACCAGGAGTGGCTGTGGGGGGTTGGGGGAAGAGGGCGACTCCCCTCTGGGCTCAGGCAGCCCTGCACACTGCCTAGCAGGGCCCAGGGCAGCTTGCCAGGACATCAAGTGGTTAAGGTACAGCAGACCCCTGGCCTGCAGGCCTCCTGAGGAGGGGTGTCAGATGTGTGAAGGAAAGGTTTAGCATCTCTGTCATCACTTTGGTTTTCAGAATTCCCTGCTCCCCATCTGTCGGCTCCCTCCCTCTGAGGGGTGCTGTCGTCAACACACGAGAGCAACTGGAATATTGTATCTTGAGAGGATTGCCCCAATGTACGTATCCGTTCATCCGATGATGAAAAAATCCCAAAGAACAAGAATGAAGACAGACTACTGTCCTTTAGGCTTAAAAAAAACCCCGGAAGTGTCTTGCGAAGAGCTGAAACTTGGTTCTGCCCAGGCACCTCAGAGAGATTGGATGAGGAAATGGCCCAGTTTGGCCCTGATTTTACCCACTTATGTTACTCTTGAAGGTGTCTTTGCCACAATGTGAATACACTGCCACCTTTTGGAATAGGGGCTCATACGAAAGTCTGCATTCCCAACTTTTCTTGAAACAGATCTATGTTCTGCAGCTGTGGCCACCATCCTGAGATCAGGTCCTGGCGCTGGGAATCAAGGGGCACTGAAGTGGAGCGCCAACACCACCGTGCCCTTTTACATTCAGGGATTGAGCTGAACTCACTTTGGGGGAAGCCTGGCGAGGGTAACAGGTGTCACAGATGGAAGGATGGAGAATGGAGAGGCAGACACCCTGCTCGGTCCCTCCCTGGTGGGGTCAGGAAGATGAAGGCCGGCCAGCTCACCCCACAATTGGGTGAGATAGCATCCTCTGTGTCCACCTCTCACCCCGTGGGCCCAGTCACTCCCCTCAGCTCCGGGCAGCCCTCTGCATTCCATGACAGTGCACTCTGCCTTCACATGCTGCTCGCCCTAAATGAGAAGGAAGAGAGTGGTTGGCCCACAGACAACTACACAGAAAGATAGGGCTCACAGCTGGTGAGTGCAGTGGTGGTGGCAGGAGCCTCTCCTGCCTCCATGGCAGCGCTAAGAAGCAGCAAGCCGAGTGGTAAGGAGCAGCGGCGAGTAGGTGGGCAGTAAGGAGCGAGGGGTCCTAGACTGCAAGAGGGATTTCCAAATGTCTGCTTAGGCCTCAGGAATGGGCCTAAGCCAACAGGCAGACATCCCCTGAGGGGTCCTGGACTACCAGAGAATGCAGGCCAGGCTGAGGGACCCTCCCCCTCCAGGACACAAATTTCATGCACCGGGCCTCTAGTATTGTATATTATAACACAATAACATTACCTCTAATACTGTTGTACCAAACAATTGCCAAATTCAACCTTCCCTTCTTTTTTTAATATAAAATAGCTATTTTAAATTAAGAATAATCATTTTCTTAGTCTCAATTTTGCTACCGGCAATGGCACTTGGCAATCTTTTCAGAATTTTTACATTAGGATTTTTACAAAGGATTTGTCCCTTTGCAGTTTCTCCCTAAGGCACAAGTTAAGCCCAACAAAGCTGTGCTGTGATGACGATGCTGATTGTTCCAGCCAGAATCACTCCCTAATTGGTTCTTTGCACACACTAGAGTCAAGGGAGACATGAGTCAGACCTGTGTCTCTGCAGAACTACAAACTGCCGTCCCAGGCCTTCAGATCGCTCCCTAAGGGCTGAAAGCAGGTGCTCATGTGGTGAAGGCCAGTTCAGCAGCATGCTGTGTGAATGTTAACGTGCAGCTAGCCCCTCACCCCACATGACCTTCACTTCCCCT